GCATCGTTCTCTATGAGGAAATACATTTTAAAACTGAAAAATATGAAAGTTCCCCGCGCTAATCTGGCTTTATGAGGATGGCAGTTCCGTTGTAACCACTGTTTGATAAGCTTCCTGTCCTTAAACAGAAGTCAGTGAGATGATGCAGGAGATGTGTGTACGCGTAATACGCGTGTCACCTGGCAAGGGGAGGATTTTTCTCAGTATTGATTTTAACGTGCGTTTGGTTCTCTGTGAGCCTGAGCGAGCACACCGCGACGGCACCAGCTCTTGTGTGTGGCTGCGGCACGGCTGGCGTGGCTGCTTGCTCTGACCTGGCTTTTGGTTTGTTGTTTGGTTTTTTTAACAGGTAGCTTTGCTGTCTGGGGAGGTCTCTTCTCCATGATTGACTGCAGTATGGTCAGAATGAGAGGGAAGGAAGATCCGTGGAATTCGATCACAAGCGGAGCCCTAACTGGAGCCATATTGGCTGCCAGAAGTAAGAAACTTCTGTACTCTAAACAAACAGTTCTCATCATTACAGTGAAGCGACAGTTTATGATACCCGCACTGGAATTTACTCTCTCTGAGAAACTGAAAGATAACCTGGAACTTTTGTCCTGTATGAAAGTAACAACGATGTTCTCAGACATTATTGGTGTTCCTTTGTTTCCTTGAGGAGGGGGGGGGGAGTTGCCTGGTAATTACCCTGTTATTGATGATGTTAATGAGGCTTAATGGATGCAAAATTACTGCTTCTGGGTCTCCTTATAGGAGAGATTATAACTAAAGAAAGAGAGCTCTAATATGCCAGGTAATGCAGCAAAGAAGTAAAAAGTGTTGTTTTGTGCTGTTTATTTTCAGATGGACCAGTTGCCATGGTCGGGTCTGCCGCGATGGGAGGAATTCTCCTAGCTTTGATCGAAGGAGCTGGTATTCTGTTAACAAGATTTGCCTCCACACAGTTTCCAAACAGTAAGGAGCCATGAGACCATGGTATCACAAGGCTTTTATAGTGCAGTCTTTACTAACGTACCCCTTCCAGTCATCAGTCTTAGCACAGAGTAAATCTACTCTGCCGGTTGCCAGCTTCTGAGGCTGCAGAAAGCCAAGGAGGGGCTGCATGTTGCTTTGACACAAGGGTATCATCAGCTCCTTCCAGCTGGCCCCATTTATGTAAATACTTGCCTGTGCAAAATACTGAATACCTCTGTCGCCCCACCTTATTTTGGGAGGAATGCAGCCCAGACCGCTAGTGTTGAGAGGATTAGTAGCAAGCCACTAATTCCTGAGAGGCTTCCTCTCCCAGGTTTGTTCACTCATGTTCTTGGTTCAATATAAATTAGAACAGTTTTTGTTCTTACTACAGAGACATTTTAAAATTGGTCTGCTTTGGAGAAGGGGTATCATCTGTCGGTTACAGTTGGTTCTCTCTAAAGCTGGCACGCAGTGAACATACTGCTTCCCTCCAGAACGTCGGTAAGAGGAGTCGGGAAGCCGACTCCACAGTGAGCTGTTCCGTTTCGCTGGCTGGCTTTATTGTCGGGCAGTTTGCTGTGGGCAAACCTTTACAGAGTGGCTAAGTTCAACCGAAGGGCAAGAAGGCAGAGGTTTTCGGCCCCTTTAGGTGACTGAAAAGTTTCCCTCTCGCTGCTCTGATTCATTTCCCCATTAACAAAGGAGATAAAAGTACAGTCCTTGATGGACTGAGGCTCTCGTCAATGCATAAAGCTCTTGAACTTCTTTGAATGAAAAAAAAAATCAAATGTAAAGTCTTGTTATTGGCTTCATTGATTTTAGAAGGGATTTATCTTAAAAACGCTGTGAATATGTTTCATGCTGTTAGTAGGAAGAATCTCTTGTCATTTGGTATTTATTATTTGCCTTGTTTTTTCCTCTTGCCTTATTCGCAGCCCCTCAGTTTTCAGAGGACCCCTCCCAGTTGCAGCCCTCTCCGTTCAGCGACTACAGACAGTACCAGTGATGATCCTCATTCTCCTGGTTCGCCTTGTACCTGAGCTGTAATTTCAAATGCTGGAGGACCAAGATGCGGTATGTCTTCACACCAGTGGTAGTCTCTGACCCAAACCATGCCAAGAGGACCTTCAGCACTTCTCAGTATAAAGCTGCACAGGAGAACTTTTAGAAGATGACAAATCTATTTATTCATGCTAGATTCCATGGCTGTAATCTTAATACATGTCTGATAGAATACATGGAGGTTTAAGACAAGGACCAAATGGAGTCTTGTCATCTTTTGGACATGGACTGAAGCAAAAGTGTTTGGAGTCTCCTCTGGGATGTGGCATTGACCATCCACAGTGAACGCAGCTAGAATTTAGCCTCTTCCCCGTTGGATTTAGGTCGCCACACTTATTTCAGCTTAAGGAAAATAATTCATCTACACACAGTTTTACATACCTAAAGTGAATATTAATGAGAGAATGTGCAAGCCATTGAAAGTTACTTCCAGTGATATGTGTTTCACTGCTGTTCTTTCTTTTCTGCGCCATCGCCACGGAGCCCAAGTTCTTTGGTTAAAGCAGAACCTGCCTTTTGTGGATCCACGGGCTGCAGCGTACCTCCGCCTTCCCCTAAACCCGCAAGGCTCTGAGCCCCTTGTAGCACGAGGTGGTAGCAGGCTAATTCTTCCCCTCTGCTGCTGCTCGCTGTGTCTGTCCCAGCAGGCTGGGAAGGGACCACCACCGGCTTCCCGTCCCGCGCCGGCGCAGCCAGAGGTGTGTAGGAGCCCTGAGCAGAAAACCCATCGGCCCACGGGGCTGGAAGGGGAAGCGTGGCACCTGCATGCCTGCTGCCAGCACAGCCTCTTGCCTTTTCGCCTCAGATCCCAGTCCTAAGCACCATTAAAACATCTGCTGCATGGTTTTATTCTTAAACTCCAGCTGTGGAGGCACTGTCCCTCTTGCCAGCAGTTAAAAAATCGTATCAAGTGAGGTTTTCTGTTGTTAATACTAGTTAGTACTATTGCTTGCTGGCAGTTCCTGATAGAATATCCACATTTAGAAAGACTGGAGTAACAGCCAAGCTGCTTCGTGGCTTTTCTTCTGCCCAGGAAGGAGCTTGCTCTCTGCCCTCTGTCTGGAAACTAATTCCGACCCACGTAGCAGGGGGAGGGGATGAAAATAACACAGACGTGGTCACGGTAACGCTTGACAAATGGGTGAATTAGGATTGTGTGAAGTGTGCAGGCTCCTGACCATCTCCTCGGTCCTGTCATCCTGTAAAAGTGACTTTTTCCTGTGCCCACCCCGCTGCCAGTCCTAGAACCGCTCCAGGGCTGCCGGGGCTCGCGTCTCTGGTGCCGGACTGTTTCGTATCGTGGCTGCTGGTCTGTAATTTTCAAAAACCTTAAGCACAAAAGCACTGTGGGTGCGAAGGCTCATCTTGCTTTGCCGCTCACCTGGTTCCTCAGGCAATGTGTCAGGACAGTTCTCTCGGTCTGTGTCACTCAGCCAGGGCCTTCTCCTCTCGGTGGTGGAGATGCCGGCCGCAGGGCAGTGGGTCAGTCTCTGCTCGTTGAACGACACAGCTCTCATCAGCTGCAGAGCCTCCCCCTTGCCTCCAAATCTGCGTGGTCACCACCGGATGTTTTCCCCTACTCTTTATATAAGATTAGAGCCCTTGGGTATTGTTCAACTCTGTGTGCAGCTCAAGGGTTTTGTTCTCCAGCCAGCCCTCGCACTGCTGAGCTGTCCTTGGGGGCTTGCTGGGAGGGGAGAGGACTCGGCTGAGATCTCCTGGCCCTCTCCCACCCATGCTTTGTCTGGGAGCAGACGTGGGCTGGGGTGGGATGCGGGGTGCGCAGGGCCTCGTGGAGGTCGAGCTGGGGGCTCCAGCCAGGCCCTGCCTTTGCCATCCCCAAAGCCAGGCCACATCCAAAAACCTCACAGAAGGGGCCAGCGCACAGCCCTTCCCCGCAGCAGCAGGGCCAGGCACCCCCCTCACCCCTCTCTAAGGGCTGCCTGAGCTGGGCTTTGCGCAGCTCAGCTCTTCCCCTCTAATCGCCCTTGACCGCCTGCGCTGGACGGTCGCTCACAGACGTCTACACGAGGACCTGCCCCCCACCCCAGAGCCCTCTCCCCAGGAGCAGCTGCTCCTCTGTGCCCGCCCCAAAAAACCAAGACCGAGACCACCAGCACGACACGGAACTATTGACCTTTTTATTTCGATCAGCTACAGCAGCTCTACATTCCCTAACGCACCTTCCTTCCTTCACTACCACAGACAGCGAGGGAGCCGAGGACACTGTGGTGGCAGCAAGTCTCTTTAAAGCTTAGTATTAAATATTAAATATTCTCTCATTTATGTTTACATTACTTTGTCAAGGAAAAACAACGAACAAAAAGACAATTAAACCTTAAATTACACGAATCTGTGCCCGTGCCCTGGGCAGCAGCACCGGGGGGCCGCAGAGCTGCCCCCAGGAAGGCGGCTCTGCTGCAAGGGATATGCAAAAAAACTCTCTGGCCCTGGGCCTGGTAGTGCGTGACTGCTCGCTCCGGCGGTGAGCTCGGGGAGGGGGTGCGGGG